TTGAGATTTTGATTTTTTTTTTTGATAGTTTTTTGAAGATTTTCAAAGATACATTGCAGTTTGCAGCGACAGCCATATCAATAAGGAGGCAATTTTTTGTTTGCAGTCTCTAATAACAATATCTAGGCGGTTAGAATTGATTCTTCTGTCTGTGTGTACTATGTAGTCCCATAAAATTGTTACAGGAATTATTTCCATAATCGGGTCTGGGTGGTGTTCATACCAATTTCTTTCATTTTCTTTCCTGTAAAAGTTGCAGATTTTCCAGTGCATATATTGACCCACTCTGTCATGCCGGGTTTTATATTCAGTGAGTGCCAATACCTTGCAACCTGATACAAGATGATCAATTGTTTCTGGATATATATCACAGAATCTACATTTTGGGCTAACACAATGTTTTAGTATGTGTACTTGATAATTTCTAGTTAACAAGCATTGGTCCTGTGGAGCACGGATAAAACCTTCGATTTAAGCTTTCAACCCTGTACTACGTAGATACTGATGGGCACGGGGTTTATCTACATCAGCTTGTTTGGTACGGTTTATCTTGCCATCGTTTCTGTATCTCGTCGGTTGCATTAGTTTTTGCTTTCTTTCTTAAGTATTTTGCAGCTTCAGTCGGTGTATTGTGCTTTACTTGTATTTCTGCACCCATTGGAAACAACTCCATTTTGAACTTGTTGGCTTCCTTTATTCCGGAATATAGAAGCTTACTACTTTCATGTTTTTTGACACATATCATCATCCAGACTTCTGTAGTTTCCAGGTATCTTTGAAGGTCAGTTGCTGTAATTTTTCTAGCTGAACTAATCCTCTGTCTCCTTCGGATCTGGTTATATACAGACGATCAACATCAGCTTCGGGATAACGCATGCGGTAGCAAGTGAGAAGCTTTCTCGTTTTGGCGTGTATTCGCTTAATGTCAGCTATGCTCTAATTAAGGATGTTAAAACTGTATTGCACCACAGGGACAGCCAATGTGTTTATGGCTGATATTCTGTTGTTTTTTTTTAAATTCAGCTCGGTATTCAATACCAACGCACACGCCTGTAGTACTCCTTTCTTACATCTCCCTTCATTTGGGTATGCTGCATACCATCTCCTTCGCTAATTCCCAGGTACTTATAGGCTTCATCTTGTTCCAGTTCCCTAAAGATTTGTGTCAAAATCTAAATATATTGACAGTGTTTCTGTAATTCCCCCTTTCTTGAATGTTACTTTTGCACATTTATCTAATCCGAATTCCATACCTATGTCGTCAGTGAAACATTTTACAATATTGAGGAGACCCTTCAACTCATTGTCGTCTTTGGCAAAGAGTTTGAGATCATCCATGTAAAGTAGGCGATTGAATATTTTATGTCTAGTTTGTAACCATAGCTATTGTTGTTTAGTTCATATGTAAGAGGGATTACGGACAAACAAAACAGAAGGGGTAGCAGGGAGTCTCCTTGAAAGATTCCACGTCGGGTGTTCAGATGTTTCGAGATGGTAGTGCCTCTGTATGATTTAGGTATAATGTGATGTTCCGCATTCCCATTCTGTGCTTAAGGAAATTTACAACCACAGAGGAGACTATGTACATTTACAAAATCTTAAAGATGCAAGAATGCGGAACGCTATCGAAGGCTTTACGATAATCAATCCACACTACGCTAAGATTTCTACATCATCTCCTGCAATATTCCAGGATCATTTTGATTATCAGTAGATAATCTTTGCAGCCATATGAACATCAACTGCATTCCTTCTGTCCCGGAGCATCTGTTTCATTCGTTTTTGACATGAGATATGTAGTACCTTCAGTGATCCATTCCGGGATTTAACTGGGATTATGTACAATCATTGATAGAGTTTTTGTAAGGGTATTATGGATTGATGAGCGATGATAGAGCCAGAAATTTGGCACCGCGTTATTTCCTGGGGATTTTCATTTTGCCTAACATTATTTACGGTTATATTTTCCCACTCAGCATTTGTTCTTCTTCACATTGGATCCATTCTGCATTTGGGTTATATTCCATTGGACTGTTCATAATATTATGCACTTTTGTCAATAGGTCGCGGCTTTTCGACATGTATAGGTGCTGTTCCAATTTCCCTGTAAAATTTCATAAGGTCCGTTTGGAATATTTTATTTTGCCGATGGAACCCTACAACGTTATCCATAGTCTTGTTCTCTGTATTTTTAACTGAAGTTTCTGTTTCAGTATTTCCGTGATTATTGGAATTTCAATTAGGGATTTAATTTTATATTTCCGCTTGATCTTCTAGCAATTGCGTGTTGAGATATTTGAGTTTCTAGTGAGCTCATCTAATATAAAAAGCTCACATTTGATTTCCTTTATTTCCCGCATTAGTTTTGACTTCCAAGCTCACTTTATTATTATTATTATTATGAAGCATTTTTTTAAAATTATCAACATTACCATTAAACATTAAAATTATTATTAATATTATTTATATTATTATTACAGCACTTAAGAGAGGAGCGTGAGTTATGTAATGAAAAACAGTGTTTGACAATGTTAAACAATATTTCGACAGTATCTATCTTCAAGTTATATTTCTTTTCAAAATTTCAAATATATATATATATATATATATATATATATATATATATATATATATATATATATATATATATATATAAAGGGCACATAACCCAGTGGTTACAAGCGTTGATTGAATCCATTGACTTGACCCAAAGAGTTGTGAGTTCAATATCTGGCTACAACAAATGTGCACAAAACTTGGAGAGTTGGGTTAAAATGGAGAAAACGGATACCGAGATATCCGGAAGCGGCATGGCACGTGGAACTAGAACAATCTACCTCGATTGACGAAATAAAGTATTCAGTTCGAAATTCCAATCACCCGAAGAAGGCCGGAACATACAACGGTCGGAACGTCGTGAATATGACAACAAAAATGAGGACAAGACTTTAAAAAAATGTAAATAGTGTAAACAATTACAATACCGCATATAAGAAATATCTACGAATATTTTCTATATTATCATAAAATTTCATTTTTTAATTAATTTTTTTTTATTAAGATCTGATATGATGCAAGCCTTTCTGAAAGTAAATTTTATTGTGTTCATAATTGCAGAAACAAATCATAATTCCGAAGTGAAATAATTTTAGTGAACTTAATTTTACAGACCTGAATTATAAAGCAAATGCACTGTAGTAAATAAAAAGAACAACCCTAAATGCTTGACTTAATCATCGGGGACATCCAAAATCAAATAGATATGGAAATTCAACTGAGTATACACAGAAAATATTATATAGAAATTAGCCACATAGGTATAACTAATAATGCCTTTCCAAAGCTGAATATGAGTTTTTAGCAATGTCGTTAAACACGACGAAAAAAGTCCTCGGCCGCTATGTGGTGCCTGCTAAATCAGAATAGATTGTTCATAACAAGAAAAGACTTGAAACAACCTATATAATGTTCTACCAGAAATCATACAACATATAATTTCTATGGTGAATACTTACGGCAAAGAATCTGTTGATATAAATCAGACAAAAACATTTGAATTTAATACTTGTTCCAATCAAATTTCAAATAGTTAAATCCTGTTAATAAGCTGTAAACATTTGAACTCTTAGTACCCCTTGAGTATTCATAACGGTCCCAAGGAGGCATTGTCTCACACGTTGAGAATCACTGCAATAGACATATGTGAGACATTACGAAGCTCTAAGCACTACAAAGAGATTGCTTATACCAATCAGAAAAAAAGTTGATGAAATTTTTGTGGATATATAATGAGGAAATAGGGTTTGGATAATTTAACAGACACAGGTTACATATTAGAAATCAAAGAAAATTGGTGCTTCTTCACAAGTTCGATACAAGGCTAGAGTTAAGCGAATACCCATTCTACAATTATTCATGATAAATCTAAAAAAAATTATATTAATGATAACGAACCTGTATTTCCCTATTTTTACAATTTTAAATAGCTATTAGAATCTAATTATTTTATATAGCTGAAAAAAAAAGAAAATTAATTGATATATATCTACGTTTAAAAATCTTTGCACTGAACGGGTGAATATATACTAGATTTGACTAAAATGACACAAGAGCACTTCAAGTTAAAGGGTTACTTTTAAAATGGCAATTATGAATGAAATCTGTGATATCAATAAAAGCTGGGTGATAAGAAGGGGCGATAATGAGGATAAGGAGGATATATAATTATCTTAATTTTATGGTTTTGGTAAATGCGAGTAAAGGTTTTTTTAAATATATTCTCTAGAAATATTTTTTGCGTAAGTCAAGTTTTAATATTAATGAAATTACTGGACAGCCCATAGGAATATTTATGCGTATTTCTAAAGATTCTTCTTTATTAGCTGCCTAAAGGTTTTGTGGCATCTGTAAATTTTAGATATGTATGCTTTATTTTCCACATAAAAAAAATTATCACTTCTCCGACATTTACAACTTTACACGTTCATATTTAAACATTTCCACTTTCAGATCCAAATTCATAGACTGCGGTGCTACGAAAGACATGCTATAAGCAGCAAACCAATCGCCGCCAATTTTATTTCAAGTGTAGAGGCAAATCTTGCAACATACATAATTCAGTTATTTCGGAGACATTCTAATCAAACAATCAGCGCATCTCTTCGCTTCATGATTGCGCATTTAATCGACTTGCAATGTCGTGAAAATGCGAGTTATTATTCCAGCTGTTCCTCCATAATTCACGACAAAGGAACCAAAACAAAAGATGAAGGCGAACGGAGGTGGTCAAATTTAATGTCAAATTTCGCCGGCCGGGAATAGACAAGGAGACTTGGAACTTGTGACCTTTTGCTCTTCGACTGCAGATGACAGTCACTCTACGGCAAATAAGCAGACAATAATGTACAGGCAGATCGCATGCTTATGTTCATCGATAAAGACTTTTCTCTCGTAATAACAAGAGTTTTTATCAGTCTCAATAGAGGAAATAATAGCAACGATTAGGAGAAAAGAAGAAAGATTACGTGACTTGTTGGCGTTTGAAAGCAAAAATATCTTGAATTATTGAAACCTGAATCAGTGATATGATCAACCGCAGTTAGGTTCAGATATAAGACAAACGGCTGAATGACTATAACCAAACATAGATAGATAGATAGATAGATAGATAGATAAACAAGCTATTTATATATACATATATATATGACTTTAATCATTAAGGTTAGTTGAATACGTGAGGTTGAAACGAAGGTCGCTTATTCAACTAGCCTCCTAAGTTAAAAGCTCTACATGTTATTTTTACCATTATTTTATTTTATTTTCACACGGGTATTGAGCACCTTTTATACAACTGTTTCCTGGTTTGATTCAACCATGTGTATTAACCTTATATATATATATATATATATATATATATATATATATATAGAGAGAGAGAGAGAGAGAGAGGGAGATACATGGAGAAACAGACTGATATATATATATATATATATATATATCGCCACCACTATGACCAAACCTAGTGATTTTATTACCATTTAGGCAGAAAGTCACTTTTGCCAACAGTCGAAAAAGACGAGACCAAGGCTCACTACAAATACAGAAAATGAACCATGAAACATTAAAAGATCATAAGGAAATTTATTCCTTTAAAAATTGATTCCTTTAATTTGCTTTAAGAAAGTTACGAAACCGGAAAAACCTGTAGCAAAACTATGAACAATAAAATATAATATATACACTAAAACAAATCCACATCCTAATAAATAACGCTTGCGGTTTCTCTCTATCTTTTTAAACGTTTTTTCTCCCGTTGGAACAATAATAACCTTTTCCTATATATATATATATATATATATATATATATATATATATATATATATATATATATATATAGATAGATAGATAGATAGATAGATAGATAGATAGATAGAAAGCGAGAGAGAGAGAGAAAGAGAGAGAGAGACAGAATGTTTTACATAGATAAATAGACAGACAAAGAAATAGAAAGAGATTGAGTGACTCATTCGTTTTCTATGGCGTATCAAACCTTTGCAGGTTATTTAAAGCCAGATAATCTTCTTAGACTGTAAGAATTTATTTGGTAGATAATAATGATTTAGTGATACAAGTCTTACTAATTAACCCATAGCTTTCATTTTCGTATTTTGCTTTGATAAAGTCCACATTTTGAGTAGTGGATTTATATTTTTCCCATGAATATTTGCGTGTAAGTGAATAAAACGACTCTAACTGCAATTGGATCTTGGTTCTCCGATTAACAATTTTATTTTAAAAACCGTAAGCACAAATTTACAGCGCCTGGCATTACCAAGCCATTACCCATCAAGTATTGACCAGTGTCGATGTTGCTTAACTGGCCAGAAGCCAGCAAAAAGCAGACTGACATAGACAGATAGCGTTGAGGGGTTCACCCCTTTTTATACAAATGGACTCACCCAGTGTATACATATTCTACTGCTACGTGAAGACCCGAGAGAGCAAGTCCTTTGAGTCGAGTCCAGAGTGACAGAGTAAAAGGTTGTAGGTAACCGGAAGAGTGAGGGGTGAGGTAACAGTGTTGTAGGAGTCACAGTGAGCAAGCACGTAGACTCAGTAAGAAGTCATACAGCGATACTTCAATACCAAAGACTGTATATATACTTTGCTACTAACTCGTATTCCTGGAACTACTAACCTGCTTTACCAGTTGTATTATTACATTTATACATTATTTTTCATATATTCATTCCTGGCGTTTGTTATTTATTGGTACCGGATTTCAACCCGGAATCCACAACAGATAGATAGATAGATAGATAGATAGATAGATAGATATAGATAGATAGATAGATAAAGATAGACTGAGAGACTGAGATAGATAGATAGATAGATAGATAGATAGATAGATAGATATAAACAGACTGAGATAGATAGATAGATAGATAGATAGATAGATAGATAGATAGATAGATAGATAGATAGATAGATATACGTGGTACCGATTTGAATGGGGATTAACTTGAGAAGGCGTGATGAAATTCCTAGATATCCCACTAGATTATACAGGTTTTACTATCATAGCATACTGAGGACTATTTTTTTGTAATGTGCTTCTGAAGGGACGAAAAATATTTAATTACAATAAAATGATTTAGCACCTGGATTTGTATGGGTTTCAACGTAGTAGGGTTTTAGCGGGATCCATTGAAATAAACTAGCAACTGTAAGAATCGATAAATAAACTCTGTTATTGTTTCTTCAAGCAAGCGCCGGGTGTCTGTTCTGAAAGTCGCTTTTGTAACTCACGTACATCGTTCCTGAGGGTGTTTCGAACAGCTTCACCTTGGATTTCTTCAGATCAATAACTTAATTACAACGTGGGTGGGAAAGATCGACTGGCGAACACCCCAGGGCTTCAGGGAGTCATGAAGGGGTTTAATTAAATATATAGATAGGTAGATGTGAATTGAATGGGATAGACAAATGAGATTAAGACGAAATAGATAGATAGATAGATAGATAGATAGATAGATAGATAGATAGATAGATATTGATCAAACTGAGATAGATAGATAGATAGATATTGATCAAACTGAGATAGATAGATAGATAGATAGATAGATAGATAGATATTGATCAAACTGAGATAGATAGATAGATAGATAGATAGATAGATAGATAGATAGATAGATAGATAGATAGATAGATATGTTAACAAAGCATGTTAGATATGAAAGCAACATACTCTTGAAAGCAATTTTTATATGTTATCTATGGAAGGAAAAGAAATAAAAAATTATAACTTCTTCATAAAAAAGCTAGTCGAAAGGTCTTCTTCACCTGACGAAAATTGTGTCCGTCATACATACGACACTTCACTATATCTAGGAGGATTAATAACATAAAATTATCCTACATGTTTGTTAGTTTGATTTATTAATTATGTAAATAAACTCATTTTAAGCAATAGATAGATAGATTGTACGAATAGACATACATAGATATGAACAATGGGGAATAAGATAAATACTATGAACAGTCATATATATATATATATATATACATATATATATATATATATATGTGTGTGTGTGTGGAATAGATAGATAGATAGATAGATAGATAGATAGATAGATAGATAGATAGATAGATAGATGCGAATATCTTGTGATGTATGGTTTAGTTGTTTTGCTAAGATGAAGATGGCTAAATATAATCTATTTATACTTAAATCTGATTACATTTGAAGGTGAAAGAGGCTGCTGTGTAATTTTGGGTACTGGGAAACTGCAAGCATTTTTCCTGTAACAACTCATTTTTCCGGATAACTGCACCGACGGGATCAAAACGAGAGCCAACTGTCTTCTTAATAAACATTGTCAGCATCAAGACCGGGCTAATACGACTTCTTTGTTTAAATGGAGAATTCGTTTCCCTAGCTTTTTGATATATTTGGGCATTGAAGAATCATTTAATAATTTTACCCTAAGCAAGATCATAAAGCCCCTAAGACGCAAGGGGGTTACTGAGTGTGTAAGAATCAAGGAAAAATACATTATTAAAAAGAGAAGACAATAAAAGAACAGGAATTAAGGAGGCAGAAGGCGACGATCGACATTGCATAATTTTTTGAAGATCAATGTTTGAAAGTAAGTAGGCAGAAGAGAGTTTCACAATGAGAAGCATGAGAGAAGAAACTGTTAGCATAGAACTTACTGTTACATCTAGCAATTTTAACTGTAAAATGGTGAGACATAGCTGGCAATCTAGAACATGGTGTCGTATTACCATAGAAAAAAATTCGCCAGAACAACTTAGCCAACTTAGATATTAAATACAATCTGTAGCAAATACATTCCTACTATATTTTTTGTGTCTATTTTTATTTATTGCTAACTTGAAAGCTGCCATATCGGGCGGAATTTATGCTAGCCCCTGCGTAGGGCTCTTGACTAGGACTTCGGCTTGTTCAGGAGTTTGAGAATCCGTAAGTCTTTGTATATTCTCAGCATTGGAAGCTCTCCTGGTTGCCGTTTGATCTGGGTTTTCATTTGCACGGGTCTTTCTTTTGCTGCAGCCTTGGCTCTTTTGATTGCAATCTGGTCCTCTGTTAGCGGAGATTTCTTTTTGCGTTGCAAACTGCTGCTATATGCGATAGGTAACAATAAACTATAGAAGAACTCAAAGTTGATCACTGCATTTAAGCATTGCATTAATATTTAAGCTTAATTTTAACTGTTCACCGATAATCCTTCTGTGCCACTTAATTTAAAGACAATTGGATGTACGTGTAGGTTTTACTTTCCATACAAACAATTTAATTTGATTTCATCGCTGACTTACGCGTTTAATCTCAATTATTTCCAAATTGATTTCCACGTTATAAAACTTGTTATCGTGCAAAAAATTCGTCGCAAAAAAATCAGGTGAAAAATTGCCGAAAACAATCACATAATGAAAACTTGGGAATCCAAAATTACAAGATTATATTCATTGGGGGCGTAAACAGCATAAGATATGCAAATGGTGCAGTTTTGATGGCAGACAGGAAAAGAAAACTACAAAAACCCCTACTGAATGTAGTGAAGGAAAGTAAGAAGAAAGAATTAAACATTAACTGTATGACAAAATACATGGTTGTTAGCAAAAGGATGAGACTAAAAAAAACTCGGTGAGACCAATCTTCAAAAATTTAAATATCTGGGAAGTTGTTTTTTTAACAGAGGACGGAAACTGCGGCACTGAAATTCGAAGGCACATTGGGATAGCGAAAGATGCCTTCCAAAAGCCAAGCCGAATATTAAGAAAGAAAATCTTCGTTAGAAACAAAGAAAAGACTACTGAACCGTTTGTTACGTGATATACGTCCTCCAGTGAAAGCTGAAAATTCTCCTCAAAGATGAAGAAGGTACTTGAAGCAATGTGACGCGACAGACGGATGCTGAGGATACCATGAACCGAATATGGGAGCTAAGACAAGGATTTAAACAAAATAGAAGCAAAATGAACACTTTTGCATAACATCAGGAAGAGACAGTTGAAATTTCTAGTTCACATAATGAGAGAAGAAGGCTCGGAAAATTTAATACCCTCAGGACATATTGCAGACTAGAGAAACAGAGGAAAAAACGCATAACATATTCATTAAGCTTGAGTAAGAAGAAAAAGAAAAAAAATTATTAAAAGCTACAAAGGATGAGACACAGTAGAGAGCCATGATCGCCTACGTTCTGAGGGAAGACAGAACATAAAGAAGTAGAAAAAATACTTAAATTAAAGTAGAGAATAGAATTCAACTTTCTTATACATAATGAATTTGAACTTTATTTCTACTGTATTCAGTAAAGAAGGCTCTTTCTGTAGTTGTCTAAATGCCTGCGAGATGAGAATTGTAACACATGACATTTGAACGGCCGTTAACGATAACCTAGAATAAACAGAAGCCATTTTAACTAAATTAGTCGACCCGAATTGCTCACATTTGCAAAGTTTAGCGCAACCAAACCTAATGTGAGCGTTTCACACTAAATAAAATTTAGTCCCGATTACGCTTTTTTATATTTTCACAAAAAGCAAGGCAATACAGCCACTAAGACGCAAGCGTGATAGAATATGAAAAAAAAAAGAAGAGAGAATAATAAAAGAACAGGAATCAAGGAGAGAGACGATAATGAATGACATTGCATTTACATTTTTGAAGATCCAAGTAGACTGGAAATCAAAAAATCCGAAAGAGACTTCCACAAGCGAGAAGTGTGAGAAAAGAAACATATCGCCATTTTAATTGTAAAAATGATAAGATCCTGCGCCAATCTAGTACTGTGCTTAAATTTTAAAAAGTCTAGGTACCATAGAAGAAAATTCATCAGAACAATCACTATGAACCTATTTATAGAAAATTAGCAGTAGAGCCCGGCGTTGCCCGGGGATGTAACAGTAAGAGATAGATCAAGTATCGACCATCATAAAGACTGAAAAATAAAATTGACAAAGATTATTGTTTAAGGTTGACGGACACGCATGTCTTAATTGGTTCTTTTTTTTTCTTTTTTTTTTACGAATTGGTCAAACCCAAACTCAAAAAAAAAAAACATTGTTTTCAATCGTTATGAGTCTACCGATTGAATATAATTTTATTATAAACAATTGTCTTGTAAATGGATTTTTAAAGCATTCTGAATGTAAAAATAAAGAAAAAGTGTGCAAGACAATAAGAAACACTACCTGCCAAAAAAAAAACAAGTTTTGTTGAAATCGGTTCAAAAATGTAGGAAATCCGATCCCATATATAAACGAAGACACACACACACACACGCACACACACACACACACACAACCTGGGTTTTATAAGTATAACTCGATATGAGTTGTCCCTCTTTCATTAATGCCTCTTAATCGTGTTTTCAAATTGATTTCGGGCAAAAACAATTGTGTTTTTTTCAATTTTTGGCGCTGTTAGAAACACCGCAAGGTAATTTTACGTAGTCCTGTGAAGTTTTGTTGAAATCGGTTGAAAAATGTAGGAAACCCGATCCAATATATCAACGAACAGACACACACACACACACACAACCTGGGTTTTATAATAAGTATGAAACACAGGGATGCTACGTTACGGCGATGGAAATGTGACTGAAGCCGAGATATCAAGTCAGGACCAATAACATTGCAGATGAAATGCAAAAAAAAAAATATATATCTTTGATCTGAATTGCCCTATTTAATCAAGATAATATTCCCACTCATTATCGATAACATAAATAACCTATTTATTTGGCAAATTACTGATCTCACACGCGTAATTTTCTTTAGGTTTCAATGCAAAGACACACTCAATATCAGTTTCAACCTCTTCACAATTAATAAAACTTCTTTCCTTTTAAAAATCTTGCAATAACTTTTGTTCTGATAAGTGACATGTGAGGCGTCTACCCACAGAGGTGGTCGTATGTCCAATATAGGTAATTGATTTATGACAAGAAAGAAATCTTCTACTAGACATTGAAATTGATACACTATATTGGCTATCGCTTGTTTATATTTGATGGGGTTATTTTGATTATACTCATCTCATATCACTTATCAGGGCAAAGTGCCATATAAAAAATATCTATCAACCAACAATATACAAGAATACTTAAGAAAAATACTGTTCGAAAACACTACAGTCCTATGCAAATAAAAATTCGATAAGCAGCTTGTTATATGAGTGCCCCTGTACATCAAACAGCTCTCGCCCACCATCAACCTCAACTTGTTTAACAATGCAAATGGCGTTCTGAATTTTTTTGAAAAAATATAAAGTCGCCCACTCGAATTATAGCCATGCCCAGCACACGAAGCTTCGGAATTAACGCTCATACTAGAATTCACAAATAGTATATTTCACAAAGTCAAAACATGAAAAGAGACTTTAAACACCAAAACAAAGCCCCTTGAAAATGGTTAAAGAAGTGGCCAAATGCGCTTGGGACAATGGTTGATATGGACAGTTTTTATATTTTTTTACGTCCACCGAAAGAAAAAAAGTGTAAAAACGCTGGAACAAATTTGAAATGTTTATGATTCTAACATGTTTCAGTTTTATTAAAGCTTCAGCAGAGATACGGAAAAATATTCTGGTATTTTTACTTTTGTGTTATTTGATTTTCATTGGTTAAGCACACTTCACATACATTTGACTTGTTAAGCAGCGTTAGTATAATTTCTGACATTCTGAACTGAAGGAGAAATGATGCATCCATTAGAAGTAGAATACACATACATAAATGAAGCTATATTTTACATTTTTTCAGTTAAGCTTGCATCCGTTACTTTTTTTCGGGGGTGGGGGTTCTTCGAAATGCCCGTGAAGTCTACTTAATCCATGAAAATCAAACAGAACAAATTAAAAATGCCTGAATTTTTCTCCTTAAGATGAAGACTTAATAAACGCAAAATATTTTAGATTGATAAACATTTCCTATTTGTTCTTTTATATATATATATATATATATATATATATATATATATATATATATTAATTATTTATTTAAATTATAACATAAATATGTTATAAAAATCACTACAAAAATAACCAATTTGTTTCAATACCTCCGGTGTCTTATAAAGTGATGATGTTGGCATTCAACATCATCACTTGATAAGACACTTGATTTTTGTAGTGATTTTATAACATATTTATGTTATAATTTTAAATAAATAATTATATCTGCTCTACTATGTATCGAGCACTCTTTTAAGAACAGTAATTATTGGTTATTGGAATTTATTCCGTATACACCAATCATATATATTGAGTATACACACACACACACACACACACATATATATATATATATATATATATATATATATATATATATATATATATATATATATATATATATGTGTGTGTTGACATCCATAAATCAAATAACTAGATATTAGCAACTGTATGTGCGTTAGCGTGCGTACACAGGTAAGTTAATTTAAGGTATAAAAAAAAAAAAACAGAGCTCAATGTGGTTAGACAGAGCGGATGAATTGGTAGAACACCGAAACTTGCACTTCGAACGTACGTATATATATATATATATATATATATATATATATATATATATATATATATATATATATATGGACGCCTATTATAGATGATCAAATATGCCAATATGGCAACATTGACCCTGCTCATTTAGAGGCATGGAACGCAATGTGTCTGCGTCATTAATAATCTTCCAATGTATTGAATAGATTTGTTTTATTGATTATAATATTTAGATATTCAGACCATTGTGCTATCATCTTCATACATTTCTTGGTTAATTTTCCTTTTTCTCTTTCCTTTCCTTCTCTCTGCGTTTTTTCTCTTTCTCTGCTTTGCCTTTCTTATCTGCATCTCTTTTACCTCCTTCTTCCCGGGACTCTTTTTTTCTCTCTTTCTTTCATTGTTTTCATTTCCAATCTGTTATTTTCCTTTTTCTTTCGTTATTCTTTTGTCACTCTTCCTTTTCCATTTCATTTTTCTTTCATCCTTTTCTTCTCCAAAATTTTCTTTCCCTCTTTTTTTTTTTTTTTTTTTTCAAGTCTTCTTTTAGGTCTCATACCCTTGTATTTCATTTATCTTTTTTTAACGTCCTACGCGTTCTGGATGTAACCGATCATGGTTCTCTGCAGTTTCTTTTTCTTTTTAATATATATGTGAAATGCCAAGACCTCTTAGGAAAGAATACAATGGTTTCCTCTTGCCTCCTTCACGGTTTGTAATCTTCAGTTTTCCTTCTCTAAGAGAATAAAAACTGAATGACATTCCTTATCGATTCTTAATTCGCATTATTCTCATCTATCTATCATCCGCTTCTCCATATCTTCTCCAAAATCTTCCGCCATATTTTCTTTGAAATCTCTACACTTTTTTTTATTTTCTTTCAAGTATCATAGTTCTTTCCTCCTACATAATATTTTAATATTTCTTTTTTCCTTCTTCCCGCTCTCTCATTTCTTTGTACTTTCTTCCTTCTTTCTATCTGCCCCCTTATTTCATTTACCTCTCAAATTTAATTTCTTCTTCCTTATGTAACACGCTTTAACGAGCCTCCTCTATTATTCGCCACAAAACTAAATGTTTTCTTTCTTCGAATCATCTCTTCCTTTCTTCCATATTCTTTCCTTCATCAGAATTCTTTCTTCACTGTTTACTTATTTAGTCGATTTCTGATTAAATGATTTCATCTCTTGTCTCCTCCTTACAATTAATCATCTCGAGCCCACTTTCCCCGACATAAAGCTTTCACATCCTTTCCTATAATTCCACCATTGAATGCTGACTCCCCGCTATGTCCTTAGAATCGATTACCTCCCCTTTCGTGCCACACATTGGACTCTTTTGCAAATGACACATTATATAACTGGAGGACCCATTCGACGTGCAGCGCCCCCTACACAATGGTTCCCATTATGTTTCTTTATTAATGCATAATAGCGCTGACATCCGGAGTATACGGGAGCACAACCCGCCTTCGCTGAGTTTTGCGATCGCCTGCTGATTTCTGCCAAACAAAAGACGAAGGCGGAACCGGACGGGGGTATATCTCATCATGAGAGTCAATAGGAAATAGTAGCCGCCATCTTTACGGTGGAGGGGTTATTCCAACTTCATTATTGTCTTTCTTTCACTTTTCATGTATTTGCCGTATTGTACAGATTATACCTGCACACATATATATATATATATACATATATATATATATATATATATATATATATATATATATATATATATATATACATGTGTGCGTATATGTATATACGCATATATGCGCGTGTGCGCGGAGGATAGAACATATAAAGAGAATGAAATCGAAAGAACGCGACAGAGAAACGTGTTTATCCATAATATTCTCACACAGAGACAAAAAAAAAAAATACATACCCACCTATATATATATATATATATATATATATATATATATATATATAAAAGAGAGAAAGAGAGAGAGAATTTAAATATATATATGTATGTTTGTATCCATAAATAGATGTCCCTATGAATAACTATATATATATATATATATATATATATATATATAAATATATGGATAAATACTCTCACATGCATTCACGCACGCATGCGAACACGCACATATATGTAAGAAAGAGAGTGAAAGATAGATTTATTCATAAGGATATATATCAGCACTCTATATTTATACTTATATATATTCTATTAAGAGAATCAATTTAACATATATATATATATATATATATATATATATATATATATATGACCGTATTTCTAATATGAATTTTACACATACAACTTCACATATGTACGTGCATGCGTGCGTGTTTGCATGAACAATATATATATATATATATATATATATATATATATGTTTGAACATTCATTTTTGCGTACATATATACTTCAGTATATATAACGTAGCTAGAGGGCTTACATTCGGATTTTCCTGCGTCTGTCTTTGTATAAATATGCCACTGAAAGAGTGGGGATTTGTATCCTGGCGTGCATATAAAAAGGAGATTTCCTGGCCTCAAAAGTATAAAATAATAAATGCATAGACAGAAATTAACAACTAGTAGATACGAAAACATACTTTTACAGTTTTTTTTTTTTTTTATATCCATACGTGTGAAATGTAAAGTGTGTATTATTAATCTCACTACTCTACTGATTTAAGGTATTGGTTGGTTTTCTTGTAAAATTTTATATATATATATATATATATATATATATATATATATATATATATATATATATATATATATATAACAGGAAGAGGTTATAATATACCAACCAGAGAAAATGTGTATATTAAAAAGAAGAGAACGTTTTTAGTTGTAATGTAGATTTTTAAAAAAAGTATTATGCTTTATTTTCCATAATTTCGCTACACGAGTTTCCGGTCTTGCGACCGTCATCAGGCAATGGATGGAGATTTCCACATATTATTAAAAATAATTAATTTTTCTCTTTATATTTTTCGATGTTAAATATTCTCGATATGAGGCATTTTTTGTTTTTTGTTTTTTGTTTTTTTGTGTTAGTGATCCAAATCCTGTTGTTCAGTTGTTGACTGATACCTATATATGACGTCTTGCATTTTGTGCATTTGTGTACATAAATCACATTTTTGGAGTTGCAGTTTAAGTTTTTATTTCAACAAAAACAATCTCGAATTATTCACAGAAATTACAAGAAATCTAGACCTACTTAGCAAGAATAATAAACTGAAATATATACTAAAAACAACCAAAATAATGAAAAGCAAACGCCAATCTAAAAACCCAAAACACATATTAACCTCATATAAATTTAACCAACACATAATACAGGGAGTCACAAAATGCAACAAAAAAGATGTGTGGTTTGTGACATCATTATTGAAGGAAATTTCTACACTTTTGAAAACCCCAAAACGACATTTATAATAAATGAAAACTGCAACTCCAAAAATATGATTTATGTACTCAAATGCACAAAATGCAAGAAGTCATATATAGGTGTCAGTCAATAACTGAACAACAGGGTCTCCCTACAACATAAAATTTCCAGACAACAGAAAACTTTTTGTATCACAACACATCTACAAATGTAACCAGGGAAAATTTAAAATTATGTCAATATATCAAACAGACAATTATTGTTACCTACAAATACAAGAAAAAAAACTTCATAAACAAATTTAAACCAGAACTAAATACATCATTACACCACATGCAAAAGCACACAACGTGCATACATAGTGACCAAATACAGTGATCAAGCCACTCACATACATGCACGCACGCTCACATGCGGGTGTTTGTGGGGCACGAATGTGTGTGTATATATATATATATATATATTGACAAAAGTAAGAGAACTACTCACAGGCACGCACACAAACCCCACACAACTTAGGAAGTATGTGTGTATGTGTGCACATATATATGTGTTATGTGTGTATGTATGTGTGTGTATGTATACTGATTCCATGTAACTTGGGAAGTATGTGTGTGTACGTATGTGGCTATGTCTGTGGGTATGTCTATGTACTGATTCTTTGTAATGGGACGGTATGTGTGTGTGTTTGTGTATGCGTGTGTGTGTGGGTGGGTGGGTGTACAGATGTGTTCACTGATTCCTCGTAGTGAGACAGTGTGTATGTTTGGAGAGGAGATATACACATATATACACCCATGCTGATAAAAGCACATGAAAATTGAAATAGATCTAAGAACACACAGTGTCATTAAAAGATAAGTATGCCGATAACTACTCCATCATTTCTCGAACCAATCTTCATTGTTTTATAATCCTTCACGCAGAAATTTTCACTGCTAGTTCAAGAAAGACGTTTGCATGACAAACACAAAAAAATGAGAATGTTTCATATCGAGAATATTTAACATCGAAAAACATAAAGAAAAAAATTAATTATTTTTAATATGTGAAAATCTCCACCCTTTGCCGGATGACGGTTGCGAGAACGGAAACACGTGTATCAAAATTGTGGAAAATAAAGCATAATATTTTTTAAAAAACTACATTACAATCAAAAACGTTTGCTGCTTCTATCTTCTTTTTTTTATATATATATATATATATATATATATATATATATATATATATATATATATATATATATATATATATGTGTGTGTGTGTGTGTATGTGTGTGTGTGTCAAAACGTGTCTCCTAAGGGAGAGCAGGTTCGAATCTTGCCGGAGAGCGCATAGTTTTTTCTAAAAAGTTTTGCCGAATATTCAGGCCGGCAGACGAAAATAAATACGTTTTAATAAATAAATAAACGGAGCGTCTACACAAATGCGAGTATCCACTAAAAATAACAGTTACGTAACAAAATAAAATGCATTCCTTTCTTTAAAAATTGGTTTGTCTATGTAAGGATACCCAAATGAGGAGATATGTTTATTTTAAGAGTCAGAGAAAAATCTGTTTAATGACACTGTACAGACATTCAGCCGAAGGTTCGAGCACGTCAGATATAATGATGGTTTCTCCTAAAGTAACGCAGGTTCGAATCCTGCCGGAGAGCGCATATTTTTCTAATAAGATATATTGAATTTTCAGGCCAGTAGAGAAAAATAAATACACAGAGCATCTACTCAAGTAAAAGTCTCCACGAAAAATAACATTTAAGTAATAAAAATAAATAAATAAACAAAACATTCCTTTCTCTGGAAATCTAGAAATATACGGTAAATAATTTCAAGAAAAGATTCGCACTCCAACAGGATTCTAACATGTGTTCCCCTTAGCAGGAGAAACCGGCGTTAGATCCGACAGATTTTAGACTGACATGGCCACGAAGGATCTCACAGAACCACCACAGTCGAATAGTGCAAATGTCTTCAAAGATTATCGAAACATTCATATCTGACGATTCTGTTTCATTTACACATTAAAAACGCGGTCTTACGCTTAACGACGTTTCAAAATGGGTGATTGTTTATTAGTAAATAAAGTATTCAAATTAATTACTAATAAACGCCCACCAATCTTGAAAAACTGTGTAGCGTGTATTTCGCATTGTTAATGGCGAAGCAAAAAAACGACGTTAAAAGAATTTTTAATAGATTACCGTCATATATGTAAGAATATTAGTGATTTACCAATACAAGCGTACTTGTGGACACGACTACATAGTGAGGACGTCCTAACGTTTGGATTCGAGAATAAAACAGCATTTACCCCCCATGATTTTGAATCCGTCCTCCAGGAATAGCCAACTGACTAACAGTTCTGGTTCTGCTATTGCTGAACATTTAATAAATAGTAGGAAATGTGTGGAAAATTTTAGTGGTGACCGATTTATAATTTTATCTAGGTCCCACTCCACATTTCACCTCAAGATTCTAGAGTCCTTGTATATCAGATCCCGTGAGCCTTCCCTTTGTAAACAGAGGGAATGCTTGCTGGGTCTGAATATTATTGGACTCTAGTTTCTTGAAATTCATAATTTTTTTCCCTATTCCATTACATTCGTTAATTTAAAATTAATTTACACGCTTTTTTTTAAATTCTCAGAATAAATAAACTTGATAAGTCCTGGGACGAAACCGGTTGTTTTTATTTTAGCTTTTGCTTTTAAAAAATGCCTTATAAATATTGTCTTTTCCTTTCTATTATATATATATATATATATATATATATTACCCACTTAAAAGTATAAAAAAATCAATCACTACGTCTTCCAAATCGAAATACTCTCCTAACCTATGATACAAAATAAAAAAGAAATAATTACAGAATTTCCATGTTTTTTTTTATTTTAATGAGAATATTCCCAAGTTTTCTCATATCTTAATAAAAGATTTCCAATATTTAAAACTTGACCAAACAATGAGAAGGATATTCAGCGAGAACCCACTCAATGCTAGGCATCAGCCCCTAACCTAAACACACCTTTAAAATGCATAATTCACCACCCCACCAAGGTAACAGCAACTGCAATAAACTCCGATGCCAAGTCTGTAAACATATGTTCACTGATAACAGTTTCACATCCACGGCACTCACACAATATTCAAACTGCTGGCTCTGACTTTTCAAACCTTATGTATTTACTTTT